GATTGACACAGTGGCTACAATGATTGTGAGGATGGTGCAGGACCAGAAAGTGTTTCATTCTGTTGTACATAGGGTCGCTATGAGTTGGAACCAGCTCAACGGCACCTAACAACAACAACAGCCTTATTCATGAGCACTGAATTTTCCCATGTGGTAGGATTTGCGAAATCCAGAATATCATTCACATGCCCTGGTGCTTGAAATTCTACCACTAGAAAGTCATTCCTTTTTGTTCCTTTGGGTGCTTCTCTCTGAAGAGCCTCTTTTATATAAACTGGGGAACAGCATTATATGACTGAATGTACAAAAAAAGGTTTGGGAGCTTAGTAAGTCTACTTTCCTCTGACAAGAGAGCCCTGTGATATTGGCAGAGACTGGAAAATGTAGAAGCATATACCCAGGCATTCATGTCTTCATTCAGTTATTTATTGAGCACCTACTGTGTGCCAGGCACTGTGCTAAATGGCATTGTTCCTGGCCCCCAGAGGCTCCTGGGCTAATGGGGAAGACAGAAATGTAAACACAGTACAGGGACAGGGCTTGGAGCCCAGAGGAGGAGGCCACACTAAGCTGGGAGTCAGGCACTCCTGAAGGATGTGGCTGGGACTCTGAGCTGGTTTTTGAAAGGTGGACAGAGTCTGCCAGGCAGAGAGAGGTGGGCGCATGGTCCTGCCAGCTTGTTTTCTCTGAGCTCTTTCTGGCCCCAGATGGAAAGTCTTGGCATTTTCATCAGAAGGCCACAGGGTCACAGGACTAGAGGGACCTCCTGTGGGTCCCTCAAGAGGTCACCAGGGCAAGACCTCTGTCCAGGACCTGGAGTGCTCTACCAGGCTCCTCTGTTTTCAAGCAGCTCAAAGAGGAAGGGAGGAATCCTTAGGAAAAACTCAGCCAGCCTAATTGTTTTGCCTTGAGAAGACCTTGCTCCTGGCCCAGCGTTCAGTACATTTGTCTAATCCCTTTGTGGAATGAAGGAAAATGGAGCACTGAGATATTAATTTATGAGGATAATTATATCGACGTTTATTTAGTTCTTTGTATTCCTCACATTATTTTTTTCAACACTGGAATCTTCTTTCCATGGTTAAGGCACAGATTCTAGAAACAGCCTGCCTGGATTCAAATTGTGGCTCAGCCACAGTTATTCACCCATTCCCTGACTCAGTTTCCCCAGGTATAAATGAAGATAAGTATGGTTTCTACTCCATTAAGGGAACCTTCATGGCACGGTGGTTAAGAGCTTGGCCGTTCTACTCTGTCCTGTAGGGTTGCTATGAGTCAGAATCAACTCAATGGCAATGGGATTTTTTATTCCATTAAGGTGTTATGAGGCTTAAAGTGAGGTAGTACATGTATTTAGGACAGTCACTACTTAATAAATGTTAACCAGCCGGTTGCCATTGAGTCGATTCCAACTCATAGCGACTCTCTAGGACAGAGTAGAATTGCCCCAGTTGCCGTCGAGTCGATTCTGACTCATAGCAACCCTATAGGACAGAGTAGAACTGCCCCATAGAGTTTCCAAGGAGTGCCTGGTGGATTCGAACTGCCGACCTTTTGGTTAGCAGCCGTAGCACTTAACCACTATACCACCAGGGTTTCCCATTAAATGTTAGCTACTATTAATCCACTTACTGCAGAACACAATGCCTGGGACTGTCTGAATTAAAATATAGAATAAATAACATTTCCGCCAACAAGGCAGTCTTAATTTACCAGTCAGTTGAAATATTCACTAAGTGCCAATTATGTGCCTGCGGCTTCCACGCTGCACACTGGGTCCACAAAGTCAGATAGTGTGTGGCCCCTACCCTCAAGAACCCTACAGTCTAGTAAGAAAACAAGGCAAAAATCTACCTTCACATTGACAAACACCTTCACGTGTATAGTACTTTATACTATGAAACAGCCCTCACAGCTTCTTGACAGGTACCTGGGACAGGTATATTATCATCTCCACTTTCTCCATGGGAATAAAATGCCTATCAGAAAACACTCCTTGCTTATTAAATTGTTCACGGCTACTTTAGCAGATGAGGTCATCTTATCATAATACGTTAATCTACAAGGGGAACGTTTTCTCTGTAGGCTTTCTCTTCCTCCAGCAGTGACGAGTTGTAACGAGATCGTGTTTGTGTGCGTGTGTGTGTTAGGTTTGGAGGAGACCAGCCTGTCTACATCAACATCATTAGAGACCCCGTCAACCGGTTTTTATCCAACTATTTTTTCCGTCGCTTTGGAGACTGGAGAGGAGAACAGAATCACATGATCCGCACCCCCAGCATGAGGCAGGAGGAGCGCTACCTGGTAAGTCCTGG